TGAGTAGCACTTGAAATGTTTTAGCTCTATGAAACCTGATGTACTTATATGATTCTGTTTTCTTCAAGTTTGTATTTTATTGGTCGAACGCACTTATTGTAAGTCGCTTTGGATAAAAGCGTCAGCTAAATGCAATGTAATGTAATGTAATGAATGTGAAGTACTTTGTTAAAGGAGGATGAAAGCGTAATTAAGGAGCACTATTGGAGTGACTTTGATGGTTATTGGACTCAGGATTAATTCATTTGGATTCCCGCTGTATGAAGAAATTAAAGGACGGCGCGGAAGTGGAAACAATTCACAAAGGGATTAAACGGTTTAAAACACATGCTCAAAGTAAGCCGGATTTTGCCGATGTGTCTATGTGGATTCAAAAGTCGTACATAATCTACAAAATGGAGGAGTCCGATCTGATCGGAGCAACTGTGACAAATAATCCAACTGAAACCGGCATGGACAATGTTTTAAAAATGCGCTTATCCAGAAAAGCCTGGTTTGGACACTTTACGGGCAGAAGAAACATTTCTATTAAAGAAAGAATTATACATTTCTGTCTTTTTATGCCTTTATTAGCTACTAACTTGAATTTTTCTTAAAATTAATTAATCAATTATTTTTTATATTTTATTGTAATATAGAGACAAGGCTTTTGGTGACAATCATGTATTGCTTTGAAATTATATGTGAACAAAATTAAAAAAAGTCTAAATATGATATTTGGCCTCAAATCATCTGAGGCCTGGCGCCCCCCGTGCAATCTTTGGCGCCTCCCCAAGGGGGGCGCGCCCCCCTGGTTGGGAACCACTGATCTAAGCCACTGTGCAGAATTTAAGAATCAGTTTTTGAAAGGGATCTGTTGCTGAAACAAAGGCTTTGTATTTGGATATGCCAAAACTTGTTGTTTGCTGCAATTCCTGACTTCATTTCAAAGAAGATATTGTTGGCTGCTGTTACATCTTCTATTTCTTGGTTGTTCTTGCAGAAGTAAGTCTTTGGACTCCAGAACCAAGTGGCAAACAGTAGCAAAACACTATCAAGTGGATAGTTTTGTTGTTCAGCTGTGAAGTCCAGGAAACTCGAGAGGAGGGCAAAGGTTGTCAAACTTTACAGACTTGCTGGGAAACAGTCTAACCAGGAATAGGGCTGGTGGGTCATGCACAGGAGCCCAGAAGTCCTGAAAACAACAGATACATACAGTCCAGATGTATTTTTTTCTCCTGCTCACTCTCAATCATGAGTGCCATCTGAAGTGGACGAATACACCTTCTATACAAAACATTGTAAATGTTGTCCTTTACTAAGTGCTTGCATTATTGATTCCAACTTGAATTTGACATTTTTGTTCACCAGACATTTGTCACCCTGTGGGAGAAAAAGTTTCTTTATTTATGATTGAATTTCCCAAGAGTGAATCACTTAACATTTTTACTGGGAAATTGATTTAGTGTGGATGTCTACCCACAGCTTTGTCTTACTTGCTACACTCCAACCCTTTCAGTCAGCCAGCTCACGTGGAATAGATATTATGTAAATGTGGAGTACGTACAGTATATTTGGCCTCCAGGCTATGACCTAGTCACCCCCCACAAAAATACTTCAAGGAGTAAAAAGTGACTGGACGAAACTCAACCCTTACGGCAAACTTGATTTAGAGGCTATGGTGGATGCTTAGGTTAAGGTGGCTTTTGAAATGCAGCAAAGCACTGGTGCCTTGACAAATGAATGTAAGCCTATCAGGGGACATTTCCAAAAGATATTCTTGTTTCAAAATTAGTCTTCAGGTATTAAAAAGGTTAATAAAATGTAACTGATACAATAGACTGCATGTAAACAGTATAGGATGAATAATCGGCTAAACCCTCAGTGCTAATGAATCATAGGCCCCTGGTTCACCATGTGACGCCAGGCTCATTCAGAACCCAGGTTGCAGGCTGCAGCAGCATCAACTTGAATCCACCTCGCTCTCGCCTCTCCTCGTACTCCCGATGACGAGCAGCTTGCCTCATCCCTTTGATGTTAACTTATGGATGTATGCATTTAACATTCTCTTACATAATCAGCATCAAAGGTACACACCCACGCACAGGGCCCGGCACACAGCACATGCATGCATCCACAAAGAGTCCCAGATACACAGTCTAACTCTCTTGAAAACACATAGAGATGCACATACATCGCACAGCAGAGGGCCCGGGATATAAGTAATTTAGCACAGTGTGACACTTTCACGGTCTAATTAGCCCCAGTGTTGCAGTAAACACGTCCCAATGACCATCCAATTCTGGTTACTCATTAAGTATAGATTCGGCAGAAGATGGCCAGAACCTAGTATCCAGATTCAACCAACATCATTAGATGTAAAACCAACAAGGACACCCTTTCCTTTGCGGTTATACGTGTGTACATGCATCTTAGTGACAGGGTAGTCCATTTTGGACCTCAAGGAGCCATGCATCGTGTACACGTTGACAGGACTGTGTGAAGCTGATTCAAGGAAAGCTCTAGATGCTGTATGCTGTGTACAGAGACAGACAGCCCTGTTGCTAGCTGCTGCTGCCTTTGACGCGGTGATGGGGATTTTCCTCTTTTCCTGCTCTCCCTCTCTCTGTTGCGGTAGCAGACGTGGCAAGCGAGCTGTGATCAAACTGTGCCTTCATCCCTCCTCTTTTCTCTCTCGCTCTCTCATCAGCTGGAGGACTTCAGCAGCAGGGTGCCCCAGATTCACAAACCACCTCCCTCCTCCGATGGAGTCCAGAGGCGGATTCCTCTCCAATGTAGAGCACTACTGACACCTTCTGGTCAGGAGTATGGCATGCAACAAAGAAATGCAAGGAGGGCTTTTGTGAAATGTGGAAATTGACATATATTCTCTTTCATAACTTCATGGTATTGGGCTAGTGTCACCAAAGGGTAAATTCCACAAAAATAAAATGTATTTACAACACCAGTTTTGGTTAAAAAGCTCTACCTAAAAAGGCACAATTTAACTAATTAGCCTTTCAATTGATTCCTTTGAATTTGTGGCCACCCTACCGATTCTGATCAATATTGCCAATAGATCGATCAAAGGTTGAAGCGGTTCTGCAGGAGGTGTTGCAGAGGCCAGGCAGAGGGACAGTCAAGGGGGGCAAAAAATTGTACATCAGCGTAGATCCTGAATCAATACCTGTGCGTAGAGTTAATCTAGTGAGTGTCCCTTTGGCAGAAATAAGTGACTGAGAGGTTGAACAGCAAAGCAGACCAAAGAGCCCTTATCAAATAGGACTAGCTCAGCATTTTTCTCCTAAATAAGCTACTTTATTTTGGTTGGGGAGTGTAGCCAGGATTCAGCAGACCTCAGGGTTGACTTTGGGTTGAGCATAGTCAGGGACTTTCTTCCTTTGTACACCGGGGTATTATATAAGATTGTATCTGGGCTTCTCTTTGCATGATTGGCCACATCCAAAAGAATATCTAAGTTATATGCAAAGCTGGGATATTTTTTATCGAAAGCTCTCACGTCCAAGTAAGGTAAATTAGCATGACGCTGCATGTTGATACTGCAATCACCTAAATGCACACTTTTTCTTTTTTGCTAAAAATGCTGGCAGAAAGTATTTTAAAAGTAAAATGGAAATACAAATGTTCTTTTTTCTGGATATTATTGAAAAGTTTATGTGCATGGTTGACTCTATAAATGATACAAACAAAAATCTTTAATCAGCTGTACATGCGTTGGCACAAAGTCACATTTGTTTCTGTTTATCTGAAATGGTAAAAGGAACAATAACACATAAAAAAGGTAAAAACAAGCAGAAACAACCTATCAAAAGTTATACTGAGTTGATGCCTTGCCAGGCTTTACAGACACTTAGTTCCTGTTCATGATATAATGTTCCGAGCACCTCTCTTCACAACACTGTTGGCAGGTAATACTTGCAATGCATTGCTGAAAAATATAAAGCACCGTACAACATAGAGAAAGATTCCATTGATTGAATCTAACTAAATCTACACATACGATTGGACGGATTTTACACAAATAAAATCCCTTAGCCTTGATATCCCATTGTTCTGTAAATACATCAATGTTAAGAATCAAGTTTTACTGTCAGCTAGAAAGATAATGGGATATAGGTAAAAAGAAGCGCCATTTGATAGGGGAGTAACACAAACCAGAAGAAAAGACAGAGAATGGGAGATACTTTGGATCTTTCCAATGAAACACTTACACTGCAGGACTTCACCCATCCTTCTAGTTGGGTTAAGTCCAGTTACAAAGTAGAATAAAGATAAAAATACCCTGAAAAATGGCAATATGAATTATAAATGTGAGGCGAATATGAGCCCACCACCACCACAGACTAGGAGTCAGTTCAAACTGGTGGTGTACAGCAACTTGAAGGGATAGTTCGGATTGTTAAAGTGGTATGAGGTACTTTTATAAGTACAAGTGTATTACCTACTGCAGATGGCAATCGGAATATGCCCACCAAGACAGGTACACTGGCACAGAAGCTAAATATTGTACTGCAGTAGACAGGGAACATGTATTGTAGCCACTTAAAATAAAGGCCCACCTAAAACAATCAATATCAATGTTCATAAGTGTATTTTTAGAATATGTCTACCTTACCTTGCAATCACAGCCATTTTGATGAAAAGTGAAAGCCACTGGTTGGTCTTCTTCAAAGCCTCCACAGTCCATTAATAAAAACTGTTATTTAACCACGCAAAACACGGAAGCTGCTGCTACAATGGCTAGTTTGTTTGTGACATTGTATGACCTTAGCGGTTTATAGGCTATAGAGTTCGGATTCGCTTAAGGAAAGATGCTGAAAATATTGTATAGTATATATATATATATATACAATATTTTCAGCATCTTTCCTTAAGCGAATATATATATATATACATACATACACACTACTTGGGATTATTTCAGGTGGTTAAAACACATTTTGATGCTGCCACTGTCCACAGCAATACATAGCTTAGCTTCCATGCAAGTACCTCTGTTGGTTTCTCGAAACCTTTGGCATGCTAACTGTCATCTACTGCTAGAAAAACACTGACTATGGACGAGTAGTACATTATACAAACCTACTTGAAAAACTATCCCTTTAATCCTTGTCCCTGCCTCTAATGTTTGATCAACTGTAGGCACTATGAGAAGCATGACAACATGATAAGAGACGGAGGGAAGTATCAGAGTGACGGAAAGACGAGACAGACATTCATCTCTATATACAGGGCACCTTACATTACTATATTTTAAAAATACATATGTTTATCTTTAAAGTTGTTTTAGTGCATTGAATTGGCCTTGGTTTGAACTTCAAACATTATAATTCTCAGAAAATGACACTAAAAACTCCTAAAAAGGTAATTTAGTACAGCAGCCCCCCAAAGTATCATCAATACCCGCGTGGGGTCCTTGAAGAATTCTCCTTATGTTCACAATAAAATCATTTACTCAAAATTGATTGATCATTATCCATCACAATATTAACACTTGTGCAACTCTTTTTTACGAAATGTTCTCAAACTGAGATCCCGATACGGATTAATTCGGCTCTATAGAGACATTCAAGTCTATACGGCGCGTCCGGAGAGGCAAATCAAACACACCTCTGACGGCATCCTTACCTGGATCGGTTAAGGGGGGGTCTCTCGGACATTGACCCACTTCAGTTCTCTCGGTGCTTACACAGTACAGCGTAAGGCTTCACTGCATATTGATAGTTCGGGACAGGCATCGTCTGCTCAGAAAGGCACATTCCGCAATCAAAGTTCTCTACCGCTCCGATTCCTTGGCCTTCATGGTTTGTTTGTTTTAGCAGCACTTTGCATTGATCTCCGTTCCAGAGAAAATGACACTTTGTGACCTTGTTGATAATATCCACATACATACATATTTACAGAGAAGTTAGAGTCTCCATAGACTGATCTTTCTTTGAATACACGTGGTTTGATGTGTGACTGTACATATGGCAAGAATGTAGAAATATACTAAAAGGAGATGAATATAAACAGCCGAGATGATGGTTCTTGTCTGTATGCATGTGTTTTTACGAGTGCTTGATGGTGTATTTGCCTTTCTGCAGCTGGGAGATGTACAGCTTTGACTTGGTGCCGTCGAGTCGTTTGAACCACACCTCGTCGTTGTTGATGGTGGTGATGATGGCACTGTGGGACACAAACATAGGACAATGTTAGCGTGACATCAATACCACATCATTCCGCGTGACATCAAGGTAGGCAAGGTAACTGCAGTCATGTATCAACATCATGTATTCATAGGGGAAAATAACACTGTGCACTTAAGTGTTAAACGATCATGAAGGTGTACCCTGTGTTCACTGAGCATGGTGTACGGACACACAGGGCAGAATGTGGAATCACAATGATTCCAGCCTGAAGCCACAGTGTCTCTCTTTGTTTGAATCCATCCATAATCATTTCCATTACGAATGAATCCACCATGTGACCACGGTGTCACACATCTGGCCTCATTGAGCAACATGCTCTTTAATTTGATGTTGAATACAGATGCAGCAAACATTCTCAAACATCAACATTTGCTTTTTGGTATCCAACTGATTAATCCCACTTGTTCATAAATAAGAAGCATCTGGCAGATTGGTGATTGTTAACATAGGTAACGCCCACTAAACTGTACTAAGGGCAGGTGTTGTACTGTGTGCAAATACTCTGGCACATGCCCAAGAATTAAAGAGATGGAACTGCAAGAAGAATTAAATTAAAGAAAGAAATTAACTTTAACAAATTCGATTTTTCAGAGCATAAACACTGGTGTGGCAGAAGGAAAAAAAAGCACCTCAGAGTAGTAGGAAAACTAATCATTATAATTAATCCAAAACATTTAATAATCAACATTTTGAAATATAGTATCTATGTTATTTTTCTTTTACTTTTAACAAACAAATTGTTGGCTGTAAAAAAAAAGTGTTTTCTTGCTCTTGAACACTTTATTAGGAATGTTCTATTACCCAGGATGAGAATACATCGTGGATATATAACAATATAAGAGGAAATGTGGTCTTATATTGCTTTCAATATGAGACCCAATGTCTTAGAAATAAGAAATTGGATGAGAACACACACTATTTAGCATCATAGCATCAGCTTTTGTTATTACAAAGACTAACATAAACCCACACACACCTCGCTGGGTACTCGTCCTTCCTGTTGATGCAGATGGCCTGGCCCCTGCAGTACCACTGGTTGTCGTAGAAAAGTCGCCCTTCCTCGAAGCGCGCCACGTGGTGATGTCTGTCCGGCTTCACTGCAGGGACTGGAGGGAGAGAATGAGGTGGGAAAAGGGGAGAATAATAGAGAACGATTATATAAAAAAGTATGTGGAACAAGGACAAAGACAGACGAGGAGGTAGCATTTGTCTCCTTTCCACTGTGAGCACTTTTTATCTGACAGTATTGAGTCTCCGGTGAGCGTGTGGGTCGATGGCTGCACTCAGCCAGGTATTGAATGTAACAGATGACGAGGAGAGGCTCTTACCGTCCACCTTCACCCTGTGTGGCCCCAGTGATGCCATCGCCTGCGGGGGAAAGGAAACAGACACAACTAAAAGGTCGAATCACAACACAGAGTTATTCACCCAACACTGTCCTCGTTTCCAAAATACCTTTCTAATCGCAGTCCAGTCTTCCAGGATATCAAGATCCTGCAGCATGTAGACGATATAAGGCCGTGGAAATGAGAGGTTAAGGAGGAACACGCAGCGAGGTGACAGGAAACATTGGTGTTAATAACATGGGGAAATGTTCTGCAGCTGAATGATGGGATCAATAAGACGAGGAGAGGACTAAAGGGAAAAGGATATCAGACACAACAACAGACTTCTTCTTCTTAACGGGGCAGAACGGATCCTTTTTCTTGTTTTTCCGCGAGTGCAATCCATCATTCCACAACTCTGGAAAGGAAAGAGGAAAAATTAGAAAGGAGAGCTTCTGTGGGAAACTCCTTTTCAATTTGAATGCCCTTTTTTTAGATCACAAGTGGACATGTTGCATTATGTTGGCATTCTTCATATTCTTGAAATTGCAACATTGACTCACTGCTTCCTCACTAACAATACCGATTGTTCCCCTTATCAGAGGTAGGTTAGAACTTGAAATATACAATTCATTAACAGGCTTGTCAGTTGACAGTTTCCAATTTTGATAAATAAATGATTTGAGCTTTACAAAATGTCATTATTTTTGTATCAAAAGCTTTTATTGATGTATTTTGAATTTACCCTAAAAATGTTTTAAAAGTCTCAGAAGTAAAACCTCAACTAATGAATTCCAGAATGAAAGAGCCTTTTAAAAACGTAAGTATTTCATTTTTGGTACTGTTTCTGTTTCTGATGTTATGTAAAGCGTCTTTGAGCACTAGGAAAAGCGCTATAAAAGTTCAATGTATTATTATTATTATAATATACTGGGGCTTGGTCCACGGGCGGAGGACCCCGGTTCAAATCCTGCCTGGGATCATTTGCTGCGTGTCATCCCCTCTGTCTACCCTTTTCAAATCTCTACAATAAATGCACAGGTTGCATAAAAAAAAATCTTGAATCAAGAAGATTTTGGTTTGACTTTTAAAAATGATTACACCCATCCTTTTGATATCAATCTTAACATTCCGGAGTTATTGGAAATCTTTGGATCCCAGAAGTCAGAAAAACATCTATGTCACCACTACAAGAATCTCATTATACAAGTATTATAACACAATGATTCAAATGTAGATTCTGAATACAAATGTTACAATTGAAAGCTTGAAGCTCCAAACTATTCAGTGCAACACTATTAACTTTTCCCAACCGTATATCCTAATAGTGTGTATTAATAGGGACTCTGAGAAGGATGTGACTGTACTTGTACCTGAAGTGATGTCAATACTGTGTCTGTCCTCCTCCAGTCTTCGTATCTTCTCCTCCAGTTCGCTCTGCACAGTGTCGAACAGCAGCAGCTTTTCACTCTGTGGGGCAGACACACACGTTAGAAAATTATCATCAAAACGTTTTTCCCAGAAAAGCAGACTGGGGTTTAATTCAGTACTGTGGCAAAAACCCAAACTGAGAAAACGTACAATATATATCCCACATTGTAGAGGCAGCCATTTATTTGAGCATAATGTGTTTTGACGAAAAAGCAAACCCAAGTCATTAGTTGAGCTCTCACCTCCCAGTGTTGGCACGCGGCCTGGATCTCACACTCATACTTGTTCTTCACTGAATCCAAACAGAGCTCCCTGTAGATCCCTGAGAGGAGCATTCAAACAAGAAATCATTATTAGGCAGCCATCAGTAAAGAATATATAAATATGTTTCAATATATGTGACTATATAGCCTTTAAACTGCAAAAAAACGAACATTTAGTTTAATTCCATAGGGGTCAAATGACGAGGTATGACACCTAAAATATATTAAACACAGTATCCTTTGCTGTTACCACAATAAGGTTTATTTACACATAACAAGTCATCCTAACATTCTCGGCACCATAGGTGGCTGACATGAACAGTCAAAGGCATTAATCCAGATCTAAATATGTAAGTATATCCCAGTAAAGCCGGTAATATTACATTGACCTACCAGCCACTTTGGTTCTGATCTGCATGTTCTCCTGCAGGTTGGCTAGAGGCTCCAGGTACTCTTGTGCACAGCCAGCCATCACCTCCTGCAGCTTGATGTCCACCTGGCTCAGGCGCTCCTTGTACAGCCTGAACAGGGAGAAATATGAGGCAAAGAAAAACGATTCATAAACATAAACTGGAAATGTTGTGGTTATTACCATTTCACTCAACCAAAAAGCGCATATAAGTATATTTAAATCATTGGTAATAAATAAGGAATTTGAATGAAACTCAACAGGTCTTTAGAAAGTCTAGGCCATGAGGTAATCAGAGACCAAATTAGAATCTAATTTCCCAACTCTCTGGTGTTTCTTCAGTTTGCCCAGTCCCAGGCTCCTTCAACAATAAATATAAGTATACTGTATAAAAGACATAAAACATTAGAACATGTTCAAAACAGAATTCAATAACTTAAAAAAATATCAAAATTGCTTGGAGAGATTTTATCTAACCCAAAAAGACTTAAAATAATAACATCTAAATACTTAAATGTGTTGTTTGGGGGGAATTGGATTCATAACAGGACCTTCATTTAAGAAAAAATATTGAAGTAAAAGAAAAATGTGTACTACAAATATATAAAATAAAATAATAAAAATAAATATGTAAAAATGTATATATTCCAATATACACAGTAGGGTATTACTATAGTTTGTGATTGTAATAAGGGATGATGCCAAGTAATGTTTGAACATCTGTATTTTCTATTGTAGTTTATATAGAGAGTATGGATGACTATCACTCAGAAAAAGGTCCCACATCCCAAGAATCCCAAGTAATAACATGGCAATCATCTCAAGGTTTCGAGCAAGAACTTTAGTAAAAGTTCAACTTCCTTAAGAAGTGTGTTGTTGTTGTTGTTGTTGTTGTTGTTGTTGTTGTTGTTGTTATTGTTGTTGTTGTCTCAGATCAGACAGCAGTAGGTGGAGGCTAGCCTGTATTTTGTTGGGAACAACAGAGGGAGGAACTCACTGCTCCTTCAGGTCAGTGAACTGTTTCTCCAGGGTGGTCATCTCATCCAGGCACTCCATCCTCCTCCTCTCACAGTCCTCATCGTCCATCTCTGTTGGCATAAACACAGACAGCTCTGTCAACACCGGCTGCTTCTCTTTTCAACACCCAACCCCATACTGTAGGTTAGTCAAAATGTCAGCAGCTGCAACATGTCATTATGAACACATATGTCTGACAGACAAGCATATTTCTCTACTACTTATCTGTGGGTGGATATTTAAGGCCTTATTTTCCTACCCGAGCTGTCTCCATCTTCAGAAACAGACGAGCTAACAGTGTCCTCCTCGTCTGTGCTGCTGCCGTCTTGCTCGTGAAAGTCCACCTCCATTTCTTCGTGGTTACTTTCTTTCTTCTCCCGGGAGTGAACCGGCATTGCGACTTCCAAATAATCCGTTTTTAACGAGGGTGGAAGGGCTGTTTGTTAATGTAATACCCCGAAAAAAGAGGCAAATGTACCTCAGACAGCTAACCGGTTAGCTAGCCAGAATCTAGACAGCTGGAAATGCAAACATGGCCCCTGTCGACCAATCACAGCGAGCTTTACTGAGTCTGTCCAATCAAATGTTAGCAGGGTATGTACTTGCCACACAAATAATTTAGGGACTTGTAGTTTCTTCAACTTTTTCTTCAACAACGTAGGCCTACTGTTTGTGAAGGTATATGGGAGAGTGGGGTAAGTTGAGCCATTTTTTAGTTATGCTGTCCTCTAAGCAAGGAGAAATGACACATAGTAAAAATGAAAACACACACCTATAATTCAGGATGTCTTCTATCAATGGCAATGATAATAATTAATATTTGATCAAGGGCAGTGAAAATATTACTTCTTTAAAAAAAAAAGTATTTTGGCTCAACTTGCCCCAGTGTAGGGGTAAATTGATCCAGGTCAGGGGGTGAATTGAACCACGGTCAAACCTGGGCATACCTGTTCAAACCTGGGCATACAACAAAGCTTAAAGGTAGCTATAAACAATAAATAACAAATCAAATACAAGCTTAGTTTTTCAAATATTATTTTCAATTGAATTGATTGATTTTTTTTTAACATGTTAAAAGGAAAAGTAATCATACAAATGGTGATACAATTTCATACATCTTACCAATCAAACACTGGGTAAATTCAACTTTAAATGTAGCCTACAATGAGCTCTTATTATCAACTTGGCCTACTTTCATTAATTTCTCCATTGAAAAACTGGCTCAACTTACCCCAAGGCCCATGGTTCACTTTACCCCATAGCCACCATTTTAGAAAAAATAGCCTAGCATTAAAATTCAGAGTCATCTTTAGCTTAATGATTCACATGGTTTAATACGCTGCCAACACATCAACATATACAATATATGTGTTTAAACCTGGATACTTTTTTTTTTTACATGACAGCCGATATAGCTGATATCTAGAAAATGTACTTTGACAAGCAAAAAACGTTTTTTTGTAAAAATGTTTACTTACCAGACCACAATGAGCATCTCTCTTTCACAGGCAATGAGAAATGGGTGGAGCTTGCATAATTTCTGATCACTTGATTACAACTATAAGGCGTTGCCTGGTTACAGGGGGTGGTTCAACTTACCCACAAGCTCCATTTACCCCCTTCTCCCCTACAACTAAATAGATGTTTTTGGACATCATTTTATAATATATATATTGCTTGGTTTGTTTTCCTGAGTTCATCAGCACAATACTGAACCACTATTATATTATTGGTACTACTTTTCGAAATCCTCATAAGATATGTTGTTTTTTGTAATATTCAAAACATGGAACATTAAAAATAACATAGCCCAATAACAATTCATTAAAGAAGGGCTTCATATCAACATTTATTATCATAGTTTATTATCCTTTATCATTGCATATTAACATTAATAATAATAATGATAGCTTTTCCTGGTGCTCAAAGCGTGAGCTCTGTCATAATGGCAGAGAGACCATTCACAAACAAACTCGCATTTGTTGTTATTGATTTAAGTTATAAATAATCAATAAAGCATCTGTAATTGATTCATACCACTAATGAAGTCATTTATTACAATTTATAAAGGTTGGCTTATAGAACGTGGTACAGTTTTGGGGTTATTGTCTTGTTACTTGTGAAAATCAAGACTGAACCTTCATAAGGGCATCGCTAATGATCTTTAAAACTGAAACAAAATGTTGCTTTAACATCAGTACATGATGTGGAAGCAATATTAATACTAATACAGTAGACAGTTATTACTGCTGAAGATGATGTGGAGGAATGAGGAGAGGTAGACAGCGTACCACAGAGGAGGAATCTCATGTTCTGACTGCCGACTCGTGATGAGAATGTGTTAGTCCTGCAGGTCCAGACTGCAACACATGCTGTCAGTGCATCATCACTGTCAGTCTGGGAACTTTTTTTTGGCAATCGAAGCAGACAGCAGGTTTTTCTCAGTGTGCAGCTGCAGGGGTATGAGGAAGAGGTGCCAGAGAGCTTCTGCTCGCTGACTGGCAGATGATCGGAGCACCTCAGGGCCAAAGCTGTCAGGGCTTGCTTCTCGAGAATTTTCTCACTCACCTGGGTGTCACTGATGGACAGACTGAGGGGTGGGGGGAGGCTGGAGCCTTGGGGTTGCCATACCGTGTGATTGACAGTTAGGAAGTGTGTGCATGCGTGTGCAGTCTTTCACTCAATATTAGGCCTTTTGCAGTGCTTTGATTAAATAACGAAATAACATTCCTTTATTCCAGCACAGCATTCTTGTGTAAATGGTAAGTATGCCTTCTAGTCAAAACAATTAAATAATATAAAATCCTAAAATGTCTGATTCAACTTTTTTGTAAAATAAATTCAGACGAGTAGAAAAATGAAATACATATTATGCCTAATTTGCATATTTAAACATAACATTGCTGAAAATGTGTAACACAAGACATTGTCTTAATATAAGTAAAACATAGGATGGTTTTGTGGTATGTATGATCAATTTAATAAAGTAGCTTTGTTGCTGGATTAGTCAGAAACAGAATTTTTTTGGCTGGTAGAGTAGTATATTGCAATAGAGATTGAGGTACTTGTACTTTACTTGAGCATTTACATTACTTATTAGGCAACATACAGGTAGATGGAGCTGCGATCCCATTGTCTGCAATCCACAGTACAACCACATGGGGGCGACATATACTTCGATAGGTGGTAGCTCTATAATGCTCAAAATTGAGTATAGGCCTATTCTAGTATTGCAACATCATCTTCATCAGCTTTATTTAAAGAGACTCTTGGTCCATTATTAAAAGACATACAACACTCAAATATAAATTAAAAAAGGCAGTTATACCAATGTTTCCTCAGAGGTGACTGGTATCGTCTAGTACGAGGAATTTGACTTGGTGTCGTGGTGCATACATAAACGTAAAAAGAACATTTAAAAACACAGATAGAGAACTATTTTAAGAACACTATAATATTGCATTACATTACATTACATTGCATTTAGCTGACGCTTTTATCCAAAGCGACTTACAATAAGTACATTCAACCAGGAAGATACAACCTTGAAGAAAACAGAATCATAAGTAATCGTAAGTACATCAGGTTTCATAGAGCCAAACATTTCAAGTGCTACTCAACTGGCTTTAGATAAGCCAGTCCTTTATTAGTATATAAGTGCTTTGTTAGCAATTCTATCGCTCGAAGTGGAGTCGAAAGAGATGAGTTTTCAGTCTGCGCCGGAAGATGTGTAAGCTTTCTGCTGTCCAGGATAGCAAACCCACGTGTTTTTGCTGATGGGAACTTGGGTCCCCCTCGCAGTGCGGGTGCAGCGAGCTGTTTGGCTGATGCAGAGCGGAGTGCACGTGCTGGGGTGTACGGTTTAACCATGTCCTGGATGTAGGAAGGGCCAGATCCATTCGCAGCATGGTACGCAAGTCCCAGTGTCTTGAAGTGGATTCTAGCAGTAATAACATTACAAAAAAGAAAACATATAGTAGCACTGAGACACGGATTTGAAAGCAGTATAATGACAGTTATGAGAAACATTCAATCGACAGATGAATTTGTAAATCAGATTTCTCAAAAGAGCATGGAACGTGTTGGTTTTCTAAGCAGTATACGCAAAC